AACAATCCACAGACCGGGAACTGCCTGTCCTAGGCACACAAACCGCTTCAGAGAATAGAAATGTGCTGAAACTTTTGCATTGACTTTTCCAGTTACCGTGAGCTCAGCGACCACTCAGCCAAGTCAGGCACTCTGCTCCCTCCACCACAGACTTTGGTAGCAGTGACAGACACCCAGCAGCACTGGGACAGATCTCTGGCTGACTGGTGGCACACTAAGAAGCTCTCCAGCCTCCACAATACCAGCTGGTAAGCCCATCCATCACACCAAAAGCTTCCCTAGGAACCTTGGCAATGGACATAAAGGTCGCAAAGGAAACGTATTTTCTCAAAAGGGACTTCTTTCAAAACTGTTTGAATAAAACTGCCTATGATGGGTGGTGCCATTTCAATCAACCCTTATTCTAGGAGGCACCACATAAACCCCCAGAGAAAGCCAGGAAGTGCTGTAGGAGGACAAAGGGAGCAAAGCAGTGCAGAATTTAAGGGATGCTATAGACTAGCCTGAAATAAAGACGTGTCATTGCTAAAATTGCACAGGATACTGCAATAAGTTGATTACAAAAGCTATCAGAAAAAGTCAGACTTTAAAAAAAATTACCGCAGTTTAAGTTCTTCATTAGAGGACAGGAAGAAGAAGCTATTCGTAAAGATCCCTCATGGCAATCAACACCACGGTGCAGCAATAACCCATTGCCATCAGCTCCCCATTTGATGCAGCTTCCAAAAAAAGAAGGGAACAGAACAGAACATCGCCTGGACCGTGTGGTAAACAAGCGCTCGTTCTCTCCCTCCTCCGCCTCCAAGGGTCCTACAAGCCCAGCATAAAGGCCAACTCTTTATTTGTACAACCGGCAAATTCGACTGAACAGAAGGTGAAGGAGGGCAATAATCGTTTCAAAAGATTTATGGCAACCTTCAGAACACCTTTACTAATTCCGCGGGCAGTGCAAAGTTTATGACACCACCCGCAACAGGTTAAAACACTTTTCCAATGGAAAAAAAAACCACCAACAAAGCACACACGGGCCAAGCCCCTGCGAAGCTGTGCAATGCCGCGGGGCGCTGGAGGGGAAGCGAAGCAGTGCTGCGGTAGAGCCGGGCTCGGGTGGCCGCGGCCAGCTCCCCACGGGTGCGGGGTGCCGGCAGGGNGCTCGGCCTTGCGGCGCCGTCCGCAGCCCCGGCTCTCGGCTCCTGCGCCTCGAGTTGCCGTTCCCGTTGCCGCCGGCAACACGTTACACCCAACTCCAGCTGGAGCGACTTCTTTCTCTTTTTGTTTTAAAGCGTCAGACCTGCTTGTTAAAAGTGTTCTCCGTGAAACACCCTGTAAATCAAGATCGAGCTGTGACTGGCACATTGCCTCATCCTCCCATTACCTCACTTGAGCCGCGGCCCACACCGCTGTGCTGAGCAGCGGCCCTGTGCGAGGGATGCTCCCAGGAAAAGACACGGGCCCTCTCCACGGCTGAGTGGCCTCACATGGTTTTCCAGGAGTGGGATGAAGAGGGCAGATCTGGGAAGGGAAAGGCCAGTTTAGAGCTTCCTGGGTGCTTGCCTTAACCTCTCCATGTGCCCAACTCGGAAATCAATTCATCCTTCTCAAGGAGTAAGCTCACTTTAGCTCAGAGCTGCTGGAGAACCAAGTGAGCAAATAGAGCCTTGGGAGATCAGCTTGCTTGCACACTGACAGATTTGTTGCAGGGAATTTGCGGCAGAACCTGGAAAAAGATGCTGGCCCCTGCCAGGTCCTGCCCCTCCTTGGTGGAGCCCTGGGTAGCCACCACACTGGACCACTGCCTTCTTGCCATGTCTTCATGCCCAAACAGGAAACCGTAATAACCCCCCTGCCCCAGCAGATTTGGGCCAGCAAATGGGCATGACTGGCCACAAGTGCTTCCTTGTGCTTGGGAGGTAAGGGCGAGATACACCACAGGACCCCCACCTCCCCGTCCTCAGTTTATTGCTAGTAACAGATAATTTTCAACTGCAGATACTTGTTTACCTTGAGGAGACTAATTTAACCTGGTCAGGTCTCCTCTGGGTTAGTATTTTCAGAAGTAGCACACAGCTGCTACACTTGTGTTTGCAGCATCGTAAACACCTATATAAACATGCCCTGCAGGCTGGAGGGGCTGGGTTATTGTAGCCACGCCAAACGAAATTTCTGTGTGACTCATTAACAGCCAGGTAAGTCATGAGCACCTGCTAACAAAGCTCTGAACTGCAGGGCCATGGGTCTATCGGCACTGAACAGGGAGATTGCCAAACAGAGCATTTGAAGGTGTATAATGGGCTGGAGATAAATTTAGAATTGGAGATGAAGTACTTGGTTGATATATATATACATTTACAGTCTAAGCAGCCAACAAGTAAAAAGATCATGAAAACAGAAGGTGGTGACAGAAAAGAAAATAACGTGTGACTGCATGATCCCCATAGCAGGAACTCATTAATTGTGTGTAAATGGAAACGGGCCCTTGGAGTTCAGACTGCTGGAATAAAGAAGATAGTAGAAAACAACAGCTCAAACCTTTGCAGTTCCTGCATTTGTCCTGTGGAAAAGCTTTACACTTAACACCATGGCTTAATGCTCTCTTTTCAGTCCTGTTTTGGCTTTTCAAAGAGATGCTGTCAGCCTAATCCTCTTATGCTTACCCTTACCATATTGACATGAAACAGACAAGTGAAAGCAGAGCAGAGTGAGGTCTCTTTGCCAGCCTGCAGAGATTTGTGGGACCATGGCTACTTATCAGAGCAGCTGGCTTTTTTGCTTTTGCCCCTACACCTGATTGTGTACACAGGTGCACTGTTGCAGCTGCCAGGATAAGGCTTCCCAGGATGTAAGAGCACTTTCTTGTGATATGATTCCAAAATACCTTATAGATTATGTGCAAAAAGTCACTTGTTCACTAAGAGGCTGGAGCCAATAAGCCCCCAGGCAGTCTTATTTCACAGCCTTCCTCATCTCATGGCCCCCTCAGGATAACCCATTATTTGCATTTATGCTGCAGTTTCCAGCAGTCACTTACAAAAGGTGGCTGCTCCCAGAGCTTCTATTTAGAGACAGAAGATATTCTGACAAAAAAGGGGGATGTAAGTAAAAACTTTTTGGAAGTTCTGGTCTCATTTAGGTCTGGTATCAGACAGGTTTAAAAACTAGCACCATGCCCCTTTAGACTGTAAGTCTCTGGGTCTTCCAACAGGACATTTAATTATTGTGCTGAGAGACAACAAAAGACCTTCCAGTAATACACCCCACCCTGCTGCTTACCGTTGTCCAAGCTTAGCCTGCTCAAATTCTGTGCCACTTTGTCATCCTTGAAACAGAAATTCCACCCTTTCCTGCTTACAAAAAATATACATTACAATTAAGTACTTGTGCTATCAGTTTATAGCAGGGGAAATGAGTAATAATTTGTTTGGTCAAAACTGAGGAGTGATTAGTTCTGTAATGCAGGAACATCCAGCTGGAACCATGCCAGACCACAAGGATTAAAAGCAAACAGATTCCCAGCTCTAGTGAAAAGGATGCATGGGACATTAATAAAATAAAGGTTTAGTTCTATGAATACAGGTAACAAGGTAAGAACTCATCTCCTCTGAAAGTACTACACCCCCAGCTGCTGGGGAAGTGTCTCCCCTTTTTCTCCTCCATGGCTCTGCCTTCCCTAATCAGCTCCACCTCTGGCTGCTTAAAGGAGGTAAAAAAAGACCGGAATTAATTTCTCCTGAGCTGCCTCCAAGACATGAGTTCCTGGTTAATTCTCTCCCTGTTTGAAAGACCCCTCTGTGCCACCATGGGTGACAGGCCACTTCCTGAGCAGTGAGAACTGAAGGTCACACTAGGATCAGTGATTGAAGATGGGAGGCTAAAGCTCCTGAAAAAAAATCTCTCAACACAACCACTTTTAAGACAGCATTTCTTTATTGCCTGTACTGGTTGCACACTAAGAAAACATACTTGAGGTTGTACATTAGAAGAACCTGATGGTTCTCGCCATTGCAGTATGACAGCACTGATAAAGGTAATACACAGAACTGGCCTGTATTTGTGTGTCAGGCAAATTTCACACTTTTGTCTCGGGTGTGCTGTGTAAAGAGTGTGGGAGGTGCATGGTCAGAACACCTTAGCATGGATCTCCCCTCCCAAACATCACCTCTTGCAAACACGAGCAGTTCCCCTGGCAGCACTGTAGGTCTGAACTCCAGGCTCCACACAGCTGCCCTGGTTCCCTCAGGGCCTCTTACAACTTTCTGATTCCCAGTTGCTGGAAGGCGTTAGTGCAGTTGGACAGTGGGAGCCACAGCCAGCCAACAGTAAGGACTGAGAAGGATCTTACTACTTTTAGCTCTTCCTTTTACTCAGAAATCCTACTCTTCCAGAGAAAAACTTCCTCTTTCCTATCAGAAGTAAAGGGTACTGGGAGGAATGATGGAAATTCTTTGTAACACTGATAGGCTGTAGGTGACTCAGAGCACTTTTCCTGCATGGGATATTCCCAGGGAAATTTGTGCAATAAACAGACATTCAGAGTAACCACCTCATCCCAAGAGAGGAAAGACCTTGGACAAGCACAGCCCTTCCCTATGCCACAAGGTCTGGGGGCTGCGTCACAGCTGCAGTATCACATCTTGTGCTTAAAATGTCAATCACGTACAGAAACAGCCTCAAAGACAAAAGGGGAAAGGGCACTAATAAAAATCTCACTTAATCCCAAGGCTTTGAGAGCCACTGAGCGGCAAACCAGAAAGCATCACAGCCCAGAGCTCCATGCCCAGGCACAGCGGCAGCTATGCCAACCAGGAGCACTTCTGGGGACAGTTCCCACCTCTGCCCGTGCTTCTCCTCACCCTGCTTCGCCCCACCCCTTAGTGACAAGAAGGGCCCTTCCCAATGGGAACAGATTCAGTCCGGCTCTATCTCAGCCCTTCAGCAATAAAGGGAGGCTGTTGCTCAAGGTCCCTGCAAGAGAAAAAGGTACATTTCATAGAGGCAGAATAAGAATGGGAGGAAACAGGCAGCATTCAGCCTTAAAACAGGCTATATATGGCTGCCCTGGTTTGTACAGCACAGCTCCCGCAATGGGCTATGAATCAGCAGCACACAGCAGTGCCTGCGGGTCCCAGGGCAACTGCTCTGTGTTCCGTAAACATACACAGGACACTGCTAGGACAGTGAAAAGGTCCATAGGGGTGACAAAGCAATGAAAGCCATTTGGATGACTTGTCCTATCAGTTCATACTATAATCACATATGGAATCTATTAACTACAATATTGACAAGTCCAACCCAATCCTGCAGTAAATCCAGGGCCCTATCCAGATCTTGCAGAAAGTGGTGGAAGCATTCTCACTCACCAGACTGGGCTCTCAGCTGAGCACTGCTGCGGCAGAACCAAGAGGAGATGCTTCTCTCCGAGATAGATGGATCACTACTTAGAGCTAGCCCAAATTTAAAATAATTTTACTGTCTTACGTGGAAATTCTATTGAATACAGACCCAACTTTCCTCTGCTCTCTGCTGCTAGGCCACTTCTTTGCCATAAAGAACATCAACAAGACTGCATCCCTTTACAGGGAAGCAACCTCTCCAGACAGAAGGCCCAGTCTGTGTTACTAGCTATGACCAGCCAAATTCCCCCAAAGAAGCAGACGCCTCTAGAGACCAGGGCTGCATGCAGACTTAATATGCATGTTAATGTGCATATAATATGCAGATAATATGCACATTTTGGCCTGATTCATGCCTCAAAATTCACAGACTAGGAAAAGCTGCACCTTCCCCAAGTCTCTAGAGAGCTGGTATCATCAAATTCAGCTTTCTTGAAAGAAACCCCCAGTTTCATGATACAGCATTGGCACGTCTCTTGCTGACACATTGGTGTGCTTTATGTGCAGCACCCTCTCCTCCTGCTGATATCCTCCAGCTGCAGGGCATTCTCCCTCTGCCTGTCTTCTTGTGCTGTCAGCAACCTGGAAAGAACAGCACAGATCAAGAACACAACCTGGTTACTGAGATCTTCCCGCCAAGGCACTTGCCTCTGCCCTTTGCTCTCCGCCAGCCATTTAGGATTTGCATTTAGGATTGTAAGTGACAGGCCTAAAGACCCAACTTCTCTGGAAGCTGGGCAAAATAAACCACACACAGAGAACGAGCATGAATTTCCAGAGAACAGGGAAAGAAACTGGACACATACAAGAGGGGGTACCATGGTTTAGTAATTTGAGCATCAATGTGAGTGGCCTGTGCCTTATTCCCAAGATTCTCATAGATGTCAGAATCCCAGGCTGCTTGCTCCACCTCTCTGAGCCATCTTAATCAGTGGCATGGTAATAAAACATGCTGAAGGCATGTGCTATGGGAGATATGATACCTGGTAAGTAAATCCTCCCAGTTAATGAACAGTTAAGTCCTGCTGTGGCTTTTAAATAGATGATGCAGGAGGAGGTGAAGAAATAAAAGAACACAAAAGGATAGTTTTCATGCCAGATTTGAAATACTTTCTTTCCAGAAACTAACCATTTGGGTTTCTTTTTTAAACTAAAACTTTTAGAGCAAATTTCTTTCAGCTGAACAGTATCTTATCTCTTAAAACTACTGCCACTGAAATAGCTCAATCTCTAAAATGCTTATTAAGATAGGGAAGAAAGAACCCTTAGAGCTAAATGAAGACTTCAAACTGAAAAAAACAGCTTAAAATCTGGGACAGTATGCAAGGTTTTTGTGATGAAATATTTGAATTAAACTCCTAATCTTGCAGCAGCCAGTTCTACTAGGTGAAGCTTTGTGTGTAGAGTCCAGTCAACACCCGGTGCTCTCCAGGCACAAAAGACAAAGACCTGGAGTCAGGTCTCTTTTGGGATGTGACAGAAAGTCCGTCTCTGACACTCCCTTCTTCTTCTTCTTGTCCATTCCCCAGGAGAGCCCACACCAATCACCTCCAGCAGGGGAAGTGTCCCAGGCTCCTGTTCACTGACCTGGCCATGTGCAGCATGGGCTCCATGATGTTGTAGCCAGTCATCGCGCTGCACTCATAGAACACAGCCTTGTACTCCTGCCAGAGAGCACAGCAAGCACCCACGGTGACTGCCAGCTCTCCACCATCACCATTCACCCACAGCCTTGGGAGCTAGCCCACCCTCATCCCCAGGAACCCTGCCAAGAGGCATTGGAGCCAGGAGGGTGGCTGCTACCCTGCTGGGGTGCACACCCTGCTCACTAACCCAGGAGAAGGAGATGCTTTTTCAGCATTGGGGGCCAAGCCAGAGTGTCCAAAAGGGAGCACTGTGGGAGTTGTTTGGGAAGAGAAAACATCTGTCCTGGGTACTTTGATTCCCTTACCTTTTTGTTGCAAGTCCAGAAGGCAAGAAACACCTCTGAAACCCTGTCTCCCCCACCCAGGGGCCAAGGTGCCACTAGGCAGGCAGACAGGGGAGTGAGGAAAGAGGCAAGATGATGTAGCATTAGGGAAGCCCTCAAATGGGAAATCAGCTATGCATGTTCCCCTCAGAAAGACTGTAATGAGGCATCAAGCCTCAAGAGAAACACATGAGCCTGCTCAAGTGCCATTGTCTGCCACATACAGGCCACCACCTCATCCTCTCTTGTACCAGAGGGACCTGGGTGCATGTCCACATTGGAGAAACGGGGTGGGAGGGAGAGGGAAGGTACCATACTGGAAAATGGCTCCAAGAAGGGCTTTCTGCCAGCCAGACTACCCCTGCTCCCAGCTGGAGGGTGGCTGCATAGCAGGTCAAGCAGCAGAGCACCGTGTCACACCTTCGCCAGCCTTTCACCCTCCACCTTGGGTACATTCCGGGTCTCTCTCTGCACAGCATCCAATTTATTTCCAAGCAGAAAGACCACAGCTCCATCCTCTATACCTTCCTGCAAAAGAAATAAAGACCCCTGGAGACCCGGACTCAGAGTAGATCCTTCCAGCTCAAGCAAACAAGATCTTCAGTGGCAGCAGGATCAGGCCCATTAGATCATTAAAGGGCCATTCCTTCAATAGTCCCAGGGATTTGTGAAAGGAAGCTTGAACGAGGGGAACATTCCAAATGTTTGGTATGTTGAGCTGGGATGGTGAGAGAGGGGAGACAGGACACAAGTGCCTCTCCAGAAAATAAGAAGCCTGAAGAAAATCAGCTTTCTCCATAGGCATTTTGGAATTTGTGATCTGGCAGATCTTCTTAATAAGTTCAGTAATTTTTATATGTGCAGTACTGTGTCTAATGTGCTGTCTTAAACTCAATGAAAATCCACTGTCTGAAGCAAGTTAAGCAACCTTCACCCCTTGTAAGCAGTCTCCGTAGGAACTGTTACTCCTAGGCAATTCCTGGAGACTCTTACCTCTGGTCAAACTCTCTATAGCTCCACTGGCTCACTAGAACATGGTCAGAGTAAGAACAGGGCTCAAAGTTATTTCCACACTCAAGTGCCCTGGATGACATACAGAACCTGAACAGCTTCAAAACAAAATAAATACACAGATGGGGAGAAGAAAAGGAGAGATTAAAATATACAGACTTCATGTGGTTTGATTTTCTGTGTGCTCAGTTTAGCCTTCCTCCCAAAAGGAACCTGATTTTCAGAGGCTGGTTAGTTCTTAAGATCTTAACCTGTGATCTTTCAGAGTCCAAAGACATAAGTGGTTGGTTGTTTGTTTTATTTCCCAACAGGCTTGTGGAAATCAACAATATTAGAATTCTCCAACCTATACTTACTCATTCCACTGAGATCTTGGCTTTTTGAAACTCAGCACAATCAAAACAAAACTGCCCTTGAAAACTTCCCTTCACCTCTTGATCATCTATACACAACTAATTTAAAGAGAGGCATTTTTGTATTCCCAAGAAGATATAAGCCACAGATAAATACTCTCAGTGAGTGTTTGAAAATAAAACACCCAACAGTATTAATATATTGTTACCAAATTTTAAAATAAAAAAGGAAATAAAAAGGACCACCTCCCTTTCCTGTGCATAGGCCAGAAACCAGGAGACCTCCCTGCCTGAGCACAGATGGGATGTGGCCACATTTAGGAGATGTAGCCAGTGCACATGAGCTGCTTACAAACACACAGTATTGTGCTGGCAGGTCCCGCCATGTTCTGCCACTGAAACAGCCCTCCATGATTTAATGGGCTACCACTGTCTTTGTTACCTTCAACACAAAGCCTCTGGTTCCAAACTGACCGCCACAGTCATCTGCTTTGATAATTCAGCTTCACAAGGTCTACAGGACTTCACCCTGGGGCACTGAAAATTGTCGCTTCCTGACAGACTGTTGGAGCTGGTGGGGAGCAAGGGAGCATCAGCAGCACTGGAGGCCAGGTCCCACTCTCACCTGGATGCTGCTCATCCAGTTCCGCACCGCCAGGAAGGAGCACTCGGCCGTAATGTCGTACATCACCAGGATCCCGTCTGCCTTCCGGAAATACTGCTTGGTGATGCTCCGAAACCTGAGCCCAGGCAAAACCAAAGGCACTCTCAGAACCACGGCTGTGCAAAGGGCAGGTAACAGAGCGAGATTATCTGATAGTGCAGGCTCTCTGCAAGGTCTGCAGCCCCTGTTCATGATGTGTCCCTCAGGGCTGGTGTCTACCAGAGGTGACAGATCCCTGCACCTTTGAGACAGGCCAGGCAGCCATGGGTAAGTAGGAATCTTGCCAAATGCATGGTGCTGAGAAAGCAAGAAAGGAGACCTTTGCAGGTCAGGAAGAAAGAAGCGGAAGAAACTGTTTGGGTGGGATAGGAAAAGGTGATTTCCTATTAAAGGAGAAACTGATAGAGAAAACATGATCTTTCTCTGTAGTTTGGAAGAATCTGCAGACTAAGCTGTATCACAGTCCAAACTGGGCATGCATAATGTCTTCCCCAGGGCTGCCAAAATAGCAATTAAGAACTTAGCATCAGTACACTCCATTTCCACTACTGAATCTATAAACCAATGGCATTATATATAAAAAAAATCAGAAGCTAGGCACAATTTCCAGGAAAAACTCCTGCCAGACATCTACTTTTTGCTGTCTGTTCCATTTAAAACCACAGGCTTGTATTTTGTGACTAAATCACAACCAAAGTAAACCAAACAAAAAAATAAATCAAACCAAACCACCAGAACAACAAACCCAAACCTTAGAATCTGTAAGCACTTTGTGACAGACCCATGATATAACCGCACTGATTGCAAACTACTGATGGAATTAACAATGTAATTTGGGAATTAATAAATGTAACACAAGTCCTGAGATCTCACTTAAGAACTGTGTATTTCCTACATAGGATAAACTCTTATTACAACCCAAGAAAACCTACAGCTGTTACCTTCCTGTACTCTTCAGATAGTTACCTGAAGCTGTTCTTTCTCACTACAATAAGGACAGGATATTCTGGCACCTACCCAACTGAGAAAGCACAGACTGTATCCTTGGCAGTCAAGGTGCACCTCTGGAACTGCCAGGCAGGCAAGATGCTCCAGAAGAATCATCAAAGGTAGCATGCATCAGTCTTGCATGCTCCAAGGGGTTCTTCCATCTCTTCCTTAGATATTTACAGTTGGACACCCTCTAGTTAGAAGTAAATAATATTCTTCCAGAAGAAGAAAAGGCTTTTTCTTCTTCCCAGGTCTCCTATTTGATATCAGCATTGAGCCAAATTCTCCCTTGTGGGTACACATCTAAGACCTGCTAGTGCTGCACGGGCCTGTGCTAAAGGTCCTTCTGCAGAGACAATATCTTGAATTTGGCCTCTGCTGCAATCTGGCCTCAATAAAATGTCACATTTTATGTCATAGCAACTCCCCTTACTGTTCAGTTTCAGCACTGAAATAACCACAGGAGTCCCCTCGGAAATAATTATTTCTTCAGCATGAAGGCTAACTTTGGAAGAGAGTGTTACTTTTCAATAGATACTCCTACTTAGTACATTCCCACCAGCTCTGCATGGTCTAACTGACTGAGACAGCATCATTGGCACAGCGGAGGATTAGAATATTCCCATGACCTTGGCTGCCCCCTGAAGGCCTGCCCCCATAACTTATTTAGCTCAAAATGCCCAGTACTTATTTTTGTCAGGCCCTTGAGATTCATGGTCCCCATGAAATAGCTTTTCATCCTAAGCTTCTAATTATATCCTAAATAAAATGTAATTTACATGGAGGCAGTGATGGGCCTTCATCTCTAGTAGCAGATGAGGGTCAAATGTGTCCTCTACTTCTCTGGTCCTCACCAACACTGCTGGTAACACCTAGATGTATCCCATGCTTTTGAAACTAGAGGTCTGCAAATGGGGAACCAGTGTTTACTGTCACAAAAAGCTGCACAATCCCTCTACCAAGGATTATCACTTCCACAAGTCTATCAGCAGAAGGGACAGTGAAAGTGGCCAATAACCTCACTGACAGAGTCCAGCAGGATAGTTCAAATCACCTTCACCCCAGAGGTCATGTTAATTCAGCTGGCTTTGACAGCTGAATCAGATCTGGAAAGGTTCACAGTCCTTTCCACTCTGTGAACTCCATGACAGACATCTATGCACTGACTGCTTGGAGCCACAAGCATGCAGATCAGACACACGGAAAACTACTTTTCTGTCAATCCTCAGAGCAATCTCTCCAGGCCCTGCTTCACAGTCACAGCTTCTAGAAATCTCTGGAAGAAACCTGTGCTGCAGGTTCAGCACTGGCATAGCTGTAATGACCTGTCTGGTCCTTCTGAAGCTGATGGTATGCCCAGGGACAGAAACCAGCTGCATGCTCTCTTGCCCTTTCCTCCACTGAGCCTGGCAGACATCACTTACCTCTCTTGTCCAGCTGTATCCCACAGCTGTAAGGCAACCTGGGTGTTATCCACCATTAGGCTCTTCACCTGGTAGTCGATACCTGTCAGGAAGGTGACAATGACTATGAGGAAGGATGGGGAGAGAGCAGCTTGCCATTAAAATGGCCAGAACAACTCCATTTAGTTCAGGGAAATTGCAATATTGATTTAATACTGGGAAAGGGACCATCCTTACCTCTAGCTGGGCTATAATACAGGCAAAGAAGCATTTTCCCAACTTCCTTACCCAGACGAGCCAGGCACCCTATTACTTACCAATGGTTGCATTGAGCTCAGCCAAGAACCTGTCATAGCAGAAGCAGTGGATGAAGGAACTCTTCCCAACACCGGAATTCCCTACAAACACCACTTTAAAGATGCGATCTGGGGAACAGCTGGCTGGTTCCAGTGCTTGGAGCTACAATGGAAAAAAAGCATGAAGTTCTGAAGAGCCCAGCCGCAGGCAGTGCTTTGATTTAGGGATTGGACCCCTGCACTGTGAATCTGTGGAGCTGGAATTTGATAGGAAGAGAGTCAGACACCCTCAAGTCCCTAGCAGGTAGCAGGTGTTTGAGGAATAACCCCAGGTAACTGCACTCACCCTGGTTTCGGTGCCAACAGGCTGGGCTCGGGGAGGCAGCAGAGCAGCATCTAAGCCATCTGCATTTTTTCTGCAGTCAGAGTCACCCTTCAAAGTCATCTTAAACCACTCAGGATCTGCTGCCAAGGGCCATCTCTCCTCATCTCGGCTGTTCTCTCCAAAGTTTGTGCTGCCTCCTTCTCCTGTCTTCATCCATAACCCGTTGCCTGGGAAGTATTTACAGTTCTTCCTGTTGGGTTCTTCCACTGCCACATCCACTGGGAAGGTGAAGGGAAGGTCCGCAGAGGCCAGTTGTCTGTATTGAAGTCCACAGGCAGCACAGATAGGGTGGGAGGGAGTGAGGAGATAGGGAAAGAAGGAGGTTCCCCAACAAACCAATGCAATCCAATTAGTGTATATGAAGCTCTCACAGGAATTCTATATATTCACTCCCCACACTCCCTGTGACCAAAGCATCAGTGGCTCCCCTAGGAAAAGAGAGACAGTTCACCAGAGCTGTGCTGTACTCGTATGTGCTGACAAATATTTCATACATTTTAATAAAAATTGCCACTTTGGTTTTTCAAGAATTCTTATTGCTTCCCCCAGGAGTGAAAAAATGAGGCAAAACATACAAAATGAAAGCTCCTTTTTTTAAAAAAAAAAAAGAGGAAAAAACCCCCCAATAATTACCCCTGTGTTTTTGTTACTAAATACCATACAAAAAGAAATAACAGACCTTGCCCACACAAGAGCAGGCTGATGCACTGGGGGTAGAGCTGATGTGGCAAGTTGGAGGAACAACCTTCACAAGAACACCTAAAATAACCAATTTAAACTAGTGGAATCAAAGCTGGAGAGCAAGACAGCATCACTGGTTTTCTATGGTTAAAGAACTAGACAAGGAGTGCAAAGACCTAGAATTAAGCTGAAGATATTTAACCACCACAGATCTCTCCGTTGCTTTCACTAGTCAGAAGACTGACTGCATTTGGAAGCAAATTAGAGTGACCAGAGTGTACTACAGTCTCTTCAGAGGCAGGACATTCCACCCTGCTCTGCAACATTTTTCTCTTTCTATTAGTGCAGGAATCCAGATAATTCTTCCTTCTCACTCCAGCAAGTACACTTCATCTGGCTTGCAAAATTTACCTGCTGCCCATGCCTATACATTGTTCTATGAAAGGGAGCTCATATTCCTGGTTGTTCTCCCTGCATTTACCCCAAATGCCAATCCGGAGCGAGGCCAGCTGGAACTTTTGCCTCTTGAAAATGGACACATACTCTCAGGCTCTGGGGAATGGTACCCATCTCCCAGGACTGGCAAAATCACACAATGAGTGGTATCAAGACCCTCTTTAGTGGGAGCAAAGGAACAAACACAAAACACTGAACAGTGACCCCAGATCTAATGGATTTTTTTTCATGTTTCTCAAACAATGTGGTGTGACACAGCACTGGGACAGAGACAGGGCCAACAACTACTTCTCCCGTTCTCTCATCAACTTCATTGCCAAACTTCTCCAGCTGTTAAAACTTTCCAGGAGGTTTATTCCATGCAGCTAGAAGGATATTTGCAAGAAATAATTGGGAAGATGGGAGAAATTGGTTCTCTGATATTGGAAATTGATTCCATGGATAGAATATGCCAGTCACACAACCATGAAAGAGCTCTGCCTTACACCTCACCAGGCAACCTCCCACCATGGGCTCAAGAATCAGCCCTCCTCCACAGTCTACCCAGTTTTCTATAAGTCCATGAACCAAGGAGCCTTCAGCTAAATCCTTAAACAACACTACCAGAATTGCAAGCATTAAGGGTGAGTCGAAACTGGAAGAAACTGAGCCTAGACCTATGTCTCTGGCTGGCAACCAGGAGAAACTGAGGAACAATGGAACTTTCTGCAGAGACCTGGTAAGAAACAGGGGAGCACACTGCCTTTAAAACTTGTTTGGGGCCAGCATTTCAGGTGAGATCCAGCTCCAAGACAGGTCACTGTATATTCTGCATGTAGAGTAGAAAAAAAAAGAAAAGGCCTTGGCCACACATATGTGATACCTGCCTTAGCTTAAAGGAAGCCTGGTGTGCCAGGTGAGCATCTGCATAGCCATAGAGGGAGATGAGCACGATAAATCCACGTGCAGCCAGGCGCTCTCCTTGAGGCTTTCAGCTGCCAGAAAGAACCCAACCCTAGTGCAATTACTGCCCTCTCCTATGCCCCAGGGATATGGACTCTTGCATGATGCACCAGTGGACAGGCTTTGTGCCTGAGGACAAACTGGCACACTTGGGAGTTGTTCCAGTCATTTCAACAGAGTTGTCTGACTCAGAAAGAGGCAGCCTTTGTGACTCCCACCCCATTAACAGTCACAGACTTTCTAGTGATACTTAGATTTGCTCCTCCATTGCTGCAGGCAGAAGCAGCAACACGGCCACCACCTCCCTGTGGAAATTAGTGAACAGTATCCTCAGCTTCATGCTGAGCCAAAACCACCTGATTCCAAGAGACAGCTAAAGCCACCATGTAGGGAAAGCTACACCCCACCACATTCCCAAAACTAGCCAGCACCAAGGTGGGAGAACCAGACACAGGACACAGCTTGACGGACAGGGTACTGCAGTGGGCACGGACTAACACCATGGACACAACACAGACACCCATCTAACCGTTTGACAGGCTTGTCCTCCAGCAGGTAACTGCCTAGCACTGACCCTTTCTTCAACAGGGGCTTTTTGTTCTGAGGCACCTGGAAGTTGAAAAGAGAAGGAATGAAGAATGTGATTACAGCCCCAGTTCAACCACTCGCCACCTCTTGTAGAGCACTTTGGGGAGGCAGAGCTGGAGCCCTGGCAGCCCCACACCATGCAGTGGTAATGCCTCACTGGAAGGTTCAAAGAGGTGAGCACTGGGTTTGCTTTGCCCAGTTCAAATAATTTAATTTTTTTAAGAAGCCATCACTGTTGCTGCTTTCTCCTTCACTTTTAAATCCATCCAAGTGGTGATGTCCCAGACTGAATTCTTCCTCTAGCTAGCCAGAGTTTTTATTTCTGTGGCTCGTTCTCCACTTGGTCTCACAGCTGAATCTCTCTTTCCCCACTTGCCTCTTTCTTATGCTGATGTTTTGTGGGGCAGACCAATTGCCCCTTTCTCAAAAGACACTAGTACTCTTCTTCGACCTGCACTCACCTAGAGCTGCACATCACAGGAAAAGAAGGAGGGCAACGTACATGCTCTGCCTTACACCAGCAACCCTCTCCATGCTTTCCTCCTGCTTACCACAGACCGAACACTTCCTACAGCCAGTATTTACCAGCTCCCCAGAGAAGGAGAAAGCAGGACGACACCTCTCCCAACTCTCCTCCCCCCATACAGCAACTCCGCCATTCCCAGCAGTCAGTGCTCTAGCCACACACACAAAATGTGCAGTGAGAGACAGCATGGAAAAGTGCCCATCACATCGGCACTGGGGGAAAGGAAGATGTATTCAGTCTGTGAATCTGAAGATTTCTAACATGTCCTTACAAGTTATTTCTGGGGGAAAAGGTAGAGGAAGAAGGGTTTGCAGTCTGCCAGATCTGCCTCTCACAGCAATTTTGAACTGACCAAACACCTGCAGGCAGCTCTGGACAGGTCTTCCTTCATGCTTCCCACAGCCAGGAAGACTACAAAGATTATTTCTTCAAAAATCCTTACTGTAGGCTTATTCTAAAAGGCAAAAAAATTAAGAAGCTGTTCTGCTGGTCAGAACTCCCAGAACACTTTTACTGCAATGCAGTCTAACAAAAGGAGACACTCTGGAGTCCACAGAGGGCCTGACCCAACTAGGAGCTTTGCGGGGAAAGAACAAAACATTTTTTACATATAAAACTGATGTTCAAGAGAATCTCCAGCCACAGAAACAATTCAGCACTGAGAGGCTCGCAATTGGGGAGCACAAATCTTCCAAGACAAATGACCCCCAAGTGCATAACAATACTCCAGTAAACACAGCCAGGATGCAGTACAGACAACCAGTGGCTCTCCAGCAGGGACAGAAGGGGAAGTTTTCAGTGTTTGAGCAGCTTCACCTGAGGGAACCCTCTAGCCACACATACAGGCCACTGGAACTGAGTCACAACCTTCAAGTCACCTGTGGAGTAAAAGGACTGCCACACAATCTGCTCTGCCACCACCTTACCTGGAGAGGGAACAGCCTGCAGAGCACATACGTGGGTAAGAAAGGAGGAACAATGGGGCATGTTTTGCCATTGGTTCTGCCATGCTTTATTGGCCTGCCAGGTTTGTGTAACATTTGGCTTTTCACCAGGATGATAATGGGACAGATGCGACATCACAGCTGTGTAAAACACAATGACAAGGATTCCACAACAGCACATGTACAAGCATTTTGGATGGGAAGGATTCTGGTTTACCAGTGAAATAAAAATACATGTCAAATGAAGTCAAAGTACCAAAACATTCTTCATGATGAACAGAAATGAAATTTGCTCTGTCAACATAAAGCATGCGAGCATAACTCCATAGCCAATGGGTCATGGGTGTGAAACTGAACCTGCAACCCCTGGGTCTTAAAAATACCCATCAGTGGTTTGCACATAGACAGAAATAACCATATATTGCTATCTGTGACACACCTTGTCTTGCCTGGGACAAGATAGTGCCCCAGAGTGAAGTGGGGCTAGGGTCTGCCCACCCTGGCAAGGCCAGAAACTCTTATGAAGAGCAAGGTATTAAGCTGGGAACTGAGAAGAGCAAAGGAGCAGTGACTGGGTTGCTATCAGCCACATACAGCCCAACTCCTCCTTCCAACCACTTCAAAATCTTTGCTATGAAAGAACCTCTGTTCATCACACCTTCATTTCACAGAAATAACTCTTCCCAGCACTAAGAGAGCGTATAAGGCCTTGGGTTTCTTTTTAGCCTGTGAAAGCACTGATAGTCTCTGGCAGAGAGTGTGTCACACTCTAGGGATCCCCATCAGAAGGCTGGACTCTCCTTTTTGCTTCTGCAGGGAAGTATTGCTATTTCCTCTCCCCCTTACTGTGAGACAGGCTGGCGAGCAGACCTTCTGCAGGTATATGGTGATAGCAGCATCTCTGCAAGCCCTTGGAGCCCTGCTTTCCTGTGGACTGAAACAAGAGCAGCCAAAGGAAAAAAACCCAACTTACTACAGCACAGCCTTCAACTGCCCAGCAAGACACAGCTTTGCCAGATGAGCAACGGTGGCAGGAGTTCACCCTGTGCCTCATTCCCTACTGCCAGTGCTGGGAGAAGGGAGAAAGCAGCCCCTCTGTGCTGTGACTCTCCCTACTGGGCTCTCTCTTGGGTCCATCTGCAGCAGCAGGTCTTAGCAGGGGAGCAGGAGAAGAGAACAGAGGAGAAGCAGGCAAGCTTTGCACACAGAGGTACATACCTGAGCTGTGGTCTCCACAGGCCACCCACCCACCCATAGGAACCCACAAGCTCATGAAGCACAATGCATGCAAAGAGGAAAAGAAACCATTTTCTCTGCCTGCTTGCACTGGACTCTGCTACAGAGTGACTGCATTTAAGGCTTTTCCAAGAGGGAGCAGGAAGCTCTAGTATATATCCACATAGTTAGCAGCTTTAAAAATTAAGACTTAAGAAAAAAAATCTTCCAGATTTTAGAAACACACATACCTCACACCACTAGCCAAATTTTTTACTGAGATAATTTTATACAGCTCTCCACCAGGAGAACCCCAGCCTCTGGATCGAGCAGGGAATTTTGTCTCATATATGGACACAATCCCTGTGTTTCCTTCCAGAGTCCTTTACACACCAGTCAGAAAGGCTTTCATAGCCTATCACTGTCTTCCCTGCTAGGGAGTAGGAAGTCACCTACTTCCAGATCTTCAGGTGGGGTATGATGGCAGAGCAGGCAAAGACATGGTGGCAGGAATGGGTCCAAGAGGGCAGAGCAGCTGTGCAAGAGACATTTGGGAACACAAACTTTTTAATGAAAAAATAGTAAAACTAAAAATAGACCACATATCTGTTCTTATCTTGGTGGCTGGGAAAGGCCAGAGATTGACAGTTCCAGATGAGAGAGATCCACTTTCTCCTAATTCTCTGGCACAGGGCTCACTGCTGCACCCAGCAGAGTTCACAGGAATGGGGAGCTCCCCAGAGGAACCCCTGAAAACATCTGCTACAAACTCAGGGGGTCAGAAAAAACTTCAAAACCTTCCCATGCTACTCCATGCCCAGTCAGCCAGCAGCACATCTGAAAATCCATCTTCTTCCTCACCACTCAGCTTCAGGATGCATCCAGCTTCTCTCCCCTCCTTGCATGTGCCCAGTGCCTGGCACAGCACACAGACCCCACATGTGCAGCAGGCAGCACCCAATGCAGCCCTGCACAGGGCTGTGTGACAGTCCCCAGCCAACGTGCCTTGGGTTAAACCCAGGCAGCTGGCAGCAGCAACCAGCAGAGCTTGCCTCCAGCACAGACACAGAGGTGCTGCAAAGTCTGTATTAAGCACAACACAGGCCCCGGGTGCTCTTGTCATTGTCCCCCGTGGAAGTGACAGGCCCCCGAGTGGTGACAGCAACAGCAGCAGATGAAAGGAGGGTGGTTGGGAATTAAGGTTTTCTTTCTGAGACTAACCAGCTTCTTGGCTTCAAAAGCATCTCGCTCATCTCGAAGTTTCTTGTTCATTTCTCTGCTCCAAAGGAAAACATAGGAAAGACACAGTGAGATGCTTGTAAAAAATAAAGTAAACCCCAACAATTGAAAGTGAGAACAGAAAGACAGCTTGGGAACAGAGATTAAGATGTTGTTCACAGCTAGACATGTTGGGATTTCCATGTATTCCAGCTGAGGTCATGGGCTCTACATGGTTGCCTTAGCCAGCAGGAAAGACTAAATTCCTCCAGAGAAGGGATTACCTCGTGAAATAACATAGCCTGTAATGTGAAATAACATAGCCCGTAAAGTGCCAGAGCTGGCTAAATTGCACAACTCTGTCTGGACCAAGAAAAACAAGCAGAGTTTAAACACTGCTTGGATACAATCCTGTAGCTTTCCATGGGAGAAATAAGCACAGTGCTGAAACCTCAGCCCCTTACAGGCACAAGAGCTCAGCATTTCCCTCCAGCCTTCACCAGTTCTCACCTGAGGAGCTCCAGCTGCCGAAGGAGGCTTTGTTTCTCTTTCTGCATGTTCTTGGAGACTCTAAACACATCCCTGGGCAAAAGGCATTTTAAAATAAGGGGAAATAAATTAATGGGATAGAAAATACAAACATCCCTCTCTCAGGGGCACTCATGGTATTCTCAAAGACAAGGGCCTGCCTTATGCTAGGAGAATTCAGAGGAAGCAGCACTGTTCTGGGAGCTGGGATGGTTGGGTTGTACCAGAGCTCTCCTTCTCGCCTCCAACATGACAGCAAGCAACTCATCCTCCCCACTTCCTCAGGTGCTAGAAATGGGAAGGATGCTCACTGCCATCAGGATCTGAAACCTCTCAATGTTTTATATAGGTATCATTAGATTTAACCCAGAAATGAGAACAGAATTTATTAGAAGAGGATCTTGAAAGAGAGCATTACAGAGGGGATGGTGAACTGAAAAATATATGGAGAAGCCTCCTTTAGGCTGAGGAACAGCTGTATTTTTGTACTGATTTTCTAGAACATATTTCCCACAAAAGGTAGGCAAAAGGTAGCTATATCACTCTCTGTTTAGGCCTATATGGGCCTAAACATATAAGGGATGTTTCTTCTTTTCCTCAAAAAGAGACAGAATCTTCTAATGAGACCAAGGCTCCTAACTAGGGATACTTACCCTTTGACTGCTGCCCACCTTTCTTTCTCTGTCCATGTCTTTGCCCTAACACCTCCCCTTTCCTGTTTTTTCCTCACCTGTCCTTCTGCTCTTGCTCAAGCTGAGCCTCTTTCTGGAGCTTCTGTAACTGCCCCTTCACTGCCTCTAGCTCCCATTTGCTTTTCTCCAGCTCTTCCAGCAGGTTTTCATTCAGGTGCCGGAGCCTCTCATTCTGCACGCGGGTCTCCAGCTGCTCTGAGTTCAGCGACTGCAGTTGATGTTCCAGCTGCAATGGGAGAAAAGGAGGGGTTAAACACAGAGGAAAGGTTTTGTGTTTCAGTCACAACTGTCAAAACAAGCTGAAAAAGCAGATGTAAATGATGAGGCAGAAGGGGGTAAAAACAACCTAAGTATACAGAGCCACCAGTGGCATCGAGAAGGTGAACTGGAAGGAATTCTCTCTCATCATGCCAGCACTGGGGAACCAAGTAATGCAATTAAGCACAGCTGAGGAAGTACTTAAGGCAGCATGAGGAACCCAATGCTGTCAGGCATTGTAGGAATCAGGGTTCAAATGGGGGTCAAAGGAGGACTGGAAAAATCTGGGTGGGAGCAGGGTCACGTCTGTTGGGACTTATTAAGCAGAGGTGTTGGAATGCATCCTCTAGTTTAGGGGCTTCCTGAGCCCATGGCAGCCTAAAGGAGGATATACTGAGTTGCTAGGGGCATCTCACACTACACCTGGAAAGTGAAGTGACTGGGTGGCCTTTACTACTGCTAGAGACAGGACCTTGGGCTAGAGATGTCGTTTAAATGCCACCGAGGCAGAGCTGCACTCCAGGCAGCACAAGCCCCCAGCACAAACCTGATTTGGGAAATTCAAAGCCTGCTGCCATGTACTCAGCCAGTGACTCAATTCCTTACAAATGGCTGGCATAGTCTGGGAAAGAGTCAGACAGATGCAGCTGCCAAAACCTCCCATCTCAGATGACAAGTAGGGAATTCCAAGAGGGATCATAGCGACACTGCAGTATCCAGCCAGCCACACCCCAGCTAACCAGGGTCCTCTGCTGAAGATGCTGCTCCACAGAAACTGCAGCATCTGTCTGAGAAGTTACAGCCCAAAATAATAGTATGCAATCCATGCTTATAACCAGAGAGAAACACCAAGAATCAGGTCTGATCAGGGTAGCAGGTGGCAGAGTCAGCCTCCACATATACACCTTCAGCTTGCCTTTTCTCTCAGCCTACTTTCTGCCCCTCTCAAAATAAAAACAAAGCAGGACACCATGGCAGAAGATTAATTTTTTTCTTGCTACCCTCCTGTCTGCCAGCACACATGTACAACTGTCAAGAGTAGGAATGAATAGATTTCATCTTTCCTAGGTTCCTTGAAACACAAGCCTTACCTCTCGTCCCTGAGGCTAGAAGGGCAAGCCACACCCAGCTTTGCCTGGAGTCCTCCAGTTCTGTGAACACTGGGGAATATTTCAGCAAGACTACATATGCTGAGCAGTGGAGTTGAGACTGAAGCCAGCAATCCCTGCTTACAGCTTTTGGATCTTTTAATATGGCAAGGAACTGGCTTTAAATGAAGCACGCTTGCTCCTCCCTAAAAAATCTCCATCACGCACAACTCTCCCATTTATGTGGTCTGTCCTTAGAAGCGATGCTGTGGCATAGCACCATCACAGTACTGATCTTCGGCCACAAGAGGGACCCGATTATCCACACAGCTCACTCCAAGCTTTAGAGTTAAGAGCACCAGAACTGATATTTGAGTAAGTGTCCATGCAGCCCAAGTGTTCTGCTCTGATCCTCAGCAAGAGCAGGTACTACCTAGGAATTGTACGCCTGAGCTCCTAACTATGGTCCTTTCCCTTCATATACTGCTCCCATCTATGGTCCCTGGACTAGGGATGCTAGAGGCCACATCTCTGACGATTCTTCCTTTCAATGATTATTTACAAGCCTATTATGCATTTGTTTGTCCAATTCCTTTTTGAACTGCCGATATTGCCTGCATCTTGGGGCCAAAAGTCCAGCACAAGTGGCAGTAAAAAGAAGTGTGTTCTTCTAAATCAAATTCATACTGATCTCATTAAGCATCCCTCACCTTTCCTGTTGCAGAGCTTGGGGAATAACAGTTTGGTGAGGACCTTATCCATCACTTTTCCGAGTTCATAAAGCTCACATGTATCTTCCCTTAGCCTCCTTCTCTCCAAAACCTAAAAGTCTAGACTTTCCTGGTTTCTCTTCCTAAGGCAAACTTTTCATTTTCTTAATAATATTAGCACTCTGTACTTTCATGCTTGAGAAGGACACAGTGGAATTAGAAGAGACCAGAATTGCACACACTGAGGCATATAAAAGATGTGGGCAGCAGGAAAAACACATCCCCTATCTTATTCTCAATATCCTTCCTGAAGGCACCTCAGTTGTGCTGGCTTTTCCAGCTGCTGGACAATGAGCTGGTGATTTCAGAGAAGTGCTGTTTCATCAACATCACAGCTAGATATTCAACTGGGACACCCCCAGTCTCCAGCATCTTGCAGGTACCTGCCATACCTTGTTTCTGTGGGGGTAACATCTCAGTTCTTCAGACACCATGGAAAAAGACATCAGGAATGGACCATGCCATACAAATGTCCATGCCAAGGATGGCAGGCTAAAGGAAAGCTTGTGCTTTCATCTTTTATGTGACTGATTAATCAGTATGTCATCAAGTGCCAAATGCAAGTATACAATATGTACCTAAGTGTCACAGAACTGTTCACTCCAGGTCATTTTGGAGCACCCAGAATATAAGAACTAGAGAAATCTGGCTCTTTTATGTCCACAGACATCTTCCTTACACACCACAAAAACCTTCAAATTCAACTTTCAAATTTTTACCCCATCTTCTTTGCCAGCATTATACAATTGTTAGAAAAACTGTGCCAAGAGAACACAAAGCAGACAAGAAAATGCATGAACAAAACATTCACAGAAGAGCATTACAGCTAAAGACAAACCAATTATTTGACAAACCATCTCAGCACCTTCAGAGACATGGAAGGACTTCACTAACTAGAACCAAATTATCCAGTGCTAAACTCTCAGCAGCTGAACACCATTTTCCATCAGAAAACCCCTGAGCAGAAAGCAGAGGGGGATGTGCTTTGTTAGAAAGGATTTGGATCCCGTTACCTTCTTCTGGCGGTAGAGGATTTTCTCCAGCTCCTGCTCTTTGTTGTGCAGCTCCTTCTGGAGCAAGTTACTCCTGTCATGCCTCAGTGCTTCCTGCAGAGGTAAAGATACACCCAGCACAGTAAGAGTTGCTCCTTGGCCAGACAAGCCACCACCTCTACTTCAGAACAAAGGAAGGTTGCCTTCAAGCCAAGAGAGAAAGAGAGAAGGTACCTGGCAGACCAGCTTCTCCCTTTCTACTTTGATCTGTTGTTCCATTTCTTCATAAAGGCACCTGACTTCTCGATCATGATCTGACTCCTTCCTACAAAACACAGTTGCACGCAGGTCAGGAGAGAAAAAGAGTACAGAAAGGAAAGAAGAGGGTGGAAACAGATTCCTACTAACAGCTCTGTGGAACTGAGTGGGATTTTAACCAGGCTGAATGTTATGGGTGAGCACTGCTGCAAAGCAAATCCATGGGAACAGAACAAGATAGAGTCATTTTATTACAGCAAGAAATATCTTTTTTACTGGTGCGTCCTGTAACCCAGTCTCTCCTTGCATCTGAGGCAGGATCCAAGCATCAGCTGGCTCCCAGCAGCAAATGGCCATGATGTTCTCCTTACCTCTTCAATGCTTGTTCCATTGACTCTTTCTCATGATTCACCTCCTTTATGTACGATGAAATACGCAACAGAAACTCTTCAAAATTGGATAAGAGCTCTGGACGCTCCTTTCGTAGGCGAGCCCAGAGCTCCCGAATCTCATGTGGGCTGGAGCAAACATACAAGACAGAAAGAAAGAAAAAGAGTTACTGTGTCATCTTGTGGACTGTTATTCCAACTCCAACATGCGCTCAGGGCAAACTGCCATTCTCCTGTGATGATCTCTGTTACACCATTACAGCAGAGAGGGAAATTGGACAGTGACAGAGCATGCATGCAGAGTGGGATCTATTGTGAGGACAAAATAAAAAAAGTCATCTGAAGGAAGACAAGAAAAACAATCCAGGAAGCAAACATGGAATGACTGCTTTTCCAATTTTTCATCGATAACACATTTGGTGTCTACATCAAGACTTGGAGAAATGAATATTCAGTAAATTTGCTGTGTGTTATAAAATCAAACTGTTATAGCATGAAGAGTTTAGCAAACATCACTGGTGGTTTTCTTACACTCAGAATGTACTGGTGGCTGCTACACTCCTCATTTTTTAAAAGGTTTGGAAACCAAGGCACAAAAGAAAAAATGCAAATTTGCTCAAGCATCATATCAGGATAACAATGAAGGAAGCCCTGGAGAACCAAAGAATTCTCTGAACCTGCAATAACGATTACACTGTTTTAACATTTAATCCATTGCAACTTGAACATAGCACTTATGAACTTCATTCCCAAAGTGTACTGTAAGCCTGCAGACATGACTTCATGTTTCTTTTTAGGGAAGAGCTTTAAAAAAAAAATTTTATCATTAAATACTTTTGAAAAATTGCCTTGAAAGATACAGAATAATTACACCTATAGTCAGTATCCAAACAGCTATTTTTCTTTGCCTATATATTTTTCCCCCTTAGTATTCTGTGGGGAAACACACAACCAAAACAAACCAACCAAAAAGCTTTTGATTTCCTCTGTCAGAATTGCATGACAGCCTTCTTTTTCTGTCTCAAGTTTAAAAAGTTATAGCATTTAATCAAATCTTCGTATTTGAAATAAAAGAATATATTGAGTCTTGTTATGAAATAAAACCATTTCTTTCTAGAGAAAGCAGTGAAAATATTTCAGATTCCTGCTCTCACCCCAATTAGCTTCTGTTTGATATTACTGCTTTACAACAGCTGCTTTGGCACAAAGATGTGACATGAAGTAGCTACTGAACTCATTGCATAAAACTGCCACTAAGTGGTCAAAATAAAACACAAGATAATTTCACTTTGAGACTTCTGCTTCCCAAAGCAGAGTTATAAACAGTTGAGACTGTGTTCCCAGAACAGTAATATGGCCTTTCACAGTGTCATCCTGTTGTTTGAAGCATAACAGCTTTCCAGAATTTTTTCCAGACAGAAGCTGTTTATCACTAAAACATGCAGGTGCTTTGCATCACAATAAAATAAGGGGAAAAAGTCTGGTTTGTGACAGATGTGTTTCTGAAAGCAGCAAACTCCACCGCTCTCAGCTTCTGTCTCCAATCCTGTCCACCTCCTTCCCTAACCTGGACTGCTCCTGGCAAAATGGCAATGCAGTTGGAGTACAAAGCCTGAAAAGAAGGACAGCCACAGATGCAGTTGGGCACCCCAGGTCCTGCAGGTGTGCATCAGGTAAGAACCAGTTATGCATAACGCCTCATGTTGGAAAGCCTAAAATAAAGCTGGATGACACTGGAGCCAGCAGACTCTACTGGAGCTACATGCAAGGGCATTAATACCAAGTTTCAAGGCTCACAGAAGCACCCCTTGGCCCAGTTTAGCCTTTCCCACTCTTCAAGATCAGCAGAGCTCCAAGCAGCTCCTTGAACACAGATCCTTCCCAAAGACTCTTAGAACTGATTGTCTGAAAATATGTGAACAGTCACATACCATTTTGGAACAGAGAGCACACTCGTCCTCCTTACCTCATCTAACCCTCACATGCTTCTTTTCATTTGCTGCCTGTGCTGGACTTGTCTGGCACCAGCTGTTCCATTTTACAGCTGTATTACAAACTCAAATTTGGGAAACTGTGAAAAACACTGAGCTAAAAGTAACTGGTACCTGACGAGAAAACCCAGACCGCAAAGCATTTGCTGCCACGCATATGAAAACCCAAGGCAGCAGTACAGAGAGCCCAAGCAGTGCTTCAGAGAACAAGCTGAAGCTCAGTTCATCTCTTTGGTCTTTTCTGGCACTTTGAAGTTTTGGTACTGCGAGATCAAAACAGGGTAGAAGCAATGCCATGTGACTCCCCTACTTACTCTTCAAACAACTGGGCTGCTCCAAGCTGCTCCATCATGGAGCAGAATCGTTTCTCTTCTTCATCATCATCTGCAGGGTCCAAGTCATCTGACCAGCCTGACTCAAAGGTCTCCTCATGTCTGGAGTGATCCGTTCTCCCAGCCCCTTGACACAATTCAATCCCTATTAACTTTCCTGGTGGAAGGTGAAGAGAAGAAGAATAAACAAAGTCAAATCGGATGTCATTGAATAAGCTGTTATTTACATGGCAGCCTGCCAGAGCTCCACAGGAAGCCTCGTGCATGCTGCTGCTGCTGTAGGATACAGCTCCTGGTCAGTGAAGAGCCTCCGTTCTGACGTCCTGAGTGAGGTCAGTGTCCGTTCCCCAGTGCTGGGACTGAACCTGGCTCCCAGCCCAGCCACAGGCTGCCAGGGCTCTGCTCACATCTGCGTGCAGATGAGCCACCACCCACGGCCTCGAGCTGCCAGCACGGAAAGCTGTGCCAGGAGGTCACCGCGCTCCCACGGAGCGGCGCTCCGGGCTCAGCCGCCGCCGGTCCCACACGCTCTCCCCGGGACTGTGTGCCTGGCCCTGAATAGCTCCATGCTGCAGTTCCTCAGCTTAAAAAATAGAGAGGAGGGGCTCATTACCCCTCCCTCCTCATGTGCTACCTCTGCTCTGAGCCAAGCGCTGCGCAACAAGGACTGCCTCTTGCTAGGATTGTGTAGGACAGACTGAATTCCCTCCCTAAGCGCCTCCTCCTGCCCCGTCCCACCTTCAGATGGCTTCCAGCTAGCTGGATTCTGTTTCATGCTGAGACACTAATGCCACAAGAACCTACTGCTATGCAAGGCATGTAACAAATACTGGTGGCTGCGAACAAATCCTTCGCAAAGAAACAAATCAAGCAATCCTATCTAAAACACAGCCCCTCAATCTGTATACAGAGGTCACGCCTTCAGCAGCAGTTACTCTTCCTTTCCAAAACACATCTGCTCGGTTCAAAAGGCAGAAATGACATCCCAACTACAAGACCAGGAGTCAAGGATGTTCACATGAGATGAGAACATGAAGCTACTCTAAGGGGAAAAATATCTATCATTATTATACTTCAAACTTTACCTCTTCTTAACTCCATAAATCCAGAATTTAGCTGCTTCTCTCCCACTCTTAAAATGTGCTGTAAAAAACTTGCAATGTGGAGACCAAGACCCCACTTATCATCAGTTAAAACCTGATGATCAGACAGTTAATTAAGGAGAATGGTTTAGATTAGGCACTTTTGATGTCTGCTTTTGAGAAAGAGTCATTATGTCTCATTATCTCTCTTTTACAGAAGGGAAAATTGAGATGGAGATGGGGAAATTGAGGTAGAAAATGATTTGAAGATTGTTTTGATATCCTAGAAGGAGCAAGGAGCCTTCTCAAGAAGCAGACTTTATTGCAGCTTGAACTACTTTCCCTCGATTTGCCCCTGCACACTCCTCAAGAAATACAGCCAGGCCAAACTCCTGAGTTAGGGGCAAAGTCTGAAAAGTATGTCAGTGGTGCCAGACACAAAGAATAACCATAAAGAAATGCAGAAATTAAGTGTTTTGCCTAGACTGGAGCAAGTGCCATGAAGCCAGGCTATCAACACAGGGTGGTACCTGACTCAAAAAGAAAACTTGCCTAACTCTGCCAGCAATGGCAGAGAGTCAGATGCTCTCATGATGTCCATCTGAGGCAAATGCTTCTTACAATGAGATTTGGGAATAATCAAGTCACAATACAGAGGGAACTGTGGGTGCCAAGGAACCCAAATAGTGCCCGTTCATCTGCAACACGGTGCTGGACTGGAAAGCCCCCACTCCCAACAGGACTCTTGTTTCTGACAAAAGCAGTGGAACCAGCCAACAAGAGAGGCACAGGGCAGGAACAGGTGTAGTCAGCATGCACTCAGTGGGATAAAACAGTCCCTCAACAGGCTGGCCCAAGACAGTTTACTAGGTTTATTTAGAGGAATTCTTTGTAACTTCTCTTATGGTGGCTGTTTCTGACCACTCAAATTGCAGCATTAGAAGGCTCTCCCTCCCAAGTTGTGAGAAAGCCAGGGGCAAACACAATCTGAGAAATCAGGACAGTAAAATTCAGGAGCCTCTTCTATCACTTCTGAAAACCCTAGACCACACAAGTGTTCACTTGCTTTGACCTGATCCACTTAACACTTCTGTATGTCCAAGGAAGGTGCTGACAGGTGCAGATTTTCTGAGAGCTGACAAGACAGATGAGCACCTGTGCTTTCTGGTCAAGAATTAGCATTCTCCTACTGTTTGGAAAAGACAACAGTAAGAAGGTAACAAAGGCTTATTTGCCACTGTTCTAGCCTACTAACAGGACTCCTACTAATGCCCTTGAACAGCACTGCTACCAGCTGGGGACAGTTGCCAAGAGGCATATTTCTGTGCAGATGAACAACTGATCAGATAGCCAGGCAGAGTTTGCACCATGTACTCTCTCCATCAGGAGATGTTCCGGGGCTGGCTCTGCCAGGTAGGCAGGGAACAGGGAACAGCTGTGGGAGAAAGCAGCACAAAGCCTTGAGGGGAGGATACACACCCACCTTCTCCAATTGTGTCCATGTGAGCATGGGGCATTGTCCTGCATAGTTGCTGCAGCTTCAGCAAAACCACTGCACTTTCTTACCAACAAAAAATATCCTGTCACAGGTGGGCTTTTTCCTTCCTCTGCCTCCTCCTGCAGTCCTTACCTAGACCCATGCTGAACTCCACAGGTGTCAGGTATCCTTTATTATTCTGTTCCAAGCTATCAAAAACAGTCTCCAGCTGCTCAGGGGTTAGGGGGAGTTCACTCTGCAGCCGCTGCAAAGACAAAAGAATGAACAAACTTGAGGCACAGCTCAAGCCTTCCTTGTGACTGTCCCTGCCTTGCTCAGCTCTGCCCCACAGCAATGTCCCCTTTCAGCACTGCATCCTGCCCAGGGTGCAACAGTCTGCCAGTAGAGCTGAGTGATGATACAAACACCAGCCTGGAGTCATTGATTTTTTCCATTAATGGATCATTCTACCAGGACTTCAGAGAGGGAATTTCAGGTTATTTTGTTTGGAGAAAGCTCAACCCATTTCCAAACCACTGGGTCTAGCTCACTGCCTCCCTCCGTTCCTGCTCAGAGGTGGCACTGCCAGCTCCTGTGACCACTGCTGCTCCCGGGAGAGGCTCTGGGCACACCAGATACCAGCTCCATGTCTTTGGCCAGGGAGAGAGGTCAGACTTGAGGGTATCTGGATTCAGCTCCAAGCTCTTGCAGAACCTGAAGGAAATGTTCAGTTCATAACAGCAAGTTAGGTTTCCTCTGTCACCTTCTGCCTGCTGGGACCATACCCACAACATGGACAAGAAGCAAAACAATTCCCCTTCATAACACACATGCAGAGCACCTAATGTGGAGGGGCACCCAAAGAAACAACCAAGAAGAGTGTAAACTAAAACCTCATAGCTGTCCATTAACCATGCAGCTTTAGATAAAAACTTAATAAAAATTTATTAAAGTAACTACAAAAATTAGACATCACACAACCCAAAGAAAAATGAGTCAATATTTAAAGTGGCATGAACCTGTCAAGTGTTATTTATAGATGTCGGGAGAGATGGGGCAGGAGAAAAACAATCCACATGTCACCTTCCTGATGAACCTTTAAAACAAAACTCACTAAGAACTACAGGGATTTTGTTAACAAGTACTTTTTTAACAGAAAGCAGCAAAATGTAGAGCAAATACAGCAAATATAGTTCAGGTCTAAGATGAGCTTTTAGATTAGGCTTTAACTAGGATTGTATAACTTTTTTGTCTCAACTGTTTTTTTGAGAGATTGATGTATTGTTCATCATGTAGGTTTTGGGGGGGCTTGGTTTTTTGGGGTTTTTTTAATTAAAGCAAAATATTTTTTTTTCTTCCAGATTTCCTATCTACTGCATGCTTGATATTTGTAAGAAAAGTCATGATTTGTTTTATTTTATGCATTCCTTCAAAATTTTGAATTACAATTCCACTTGTCTCAGGAATTCCCTGGAGGTGCAAGGCACTCCTGGAAGTTTTAGTTCCTAGCAGCTGTGTCAGAGTTTGGTTCTTAGAAATATGTGTAAGACAGAGGCCACATGCACACCCACACTTGCCAAGAGTGAAGGCATGCCACACTGTCTCCTATTTTCCCACCCATAACTTTACAGATCCGCCCAGGACAGAGGAAGAATTTTTTTCCCTCACCTGCATGTCCACCTTGGTGATAAAACCCTTCTTATCCTTGTCACACAGCTGGAAGAGCTCCCTTGCTTTCTCAAGCATCTCCACCTGCACATCTTCCAGTCTGCTCATTTGGCTGGGAGGAGAAACACGATGAGCCACCCCATTCTCCTCACCCCCTTCCTCTTTTCCTTCCCAGCGGATGTATCCCAAGAGCACTCCACTCTGGTTCTCCATCTTCTCAAAGTCTTTTTCCCCAGGGCAGGGCCAAAGAAGAGCTGTGGGGCAGGAAACAGAGAAAACTCAGTCAAATATGACCCTCTGCTTCTAACCCACACGTGATATAGTTAAATGCCTCGAGGGTTGAAAGAACAACATTCAGCACCAGATCTGGACAAAATAACCTTTGAAGTCCCCTCCAACCCAAAATATTCCATGGTTCTATGAACCTAGCAGAGCAGGGGAAGGAGCTTGTGTCAGGGACACACCACACTGAGGCACACACCTTATGTAGGAAAACCCTGAACACAACATGGGTGTAGCTAAGCCTTCCACACATCTGTAACCCTCCACACAGCAGGGAGGCTCTGCTGTCATCTCTCCTCCTCTGCCTCAGACACGCAGTGCAGTCTGAGTTCTTTGCTGGTGAAAGCCAGGTGCCAAGGGAAAGTGGAGACAAGAGGGTGGGAAGGGAACATTTAAAGCATACAGGTAAATCTGCATGGGAGCACAGCAATAGTCCCACATCAGCTAAAACGGGGCTCCAACACTGTGAGCTGCTCCTCTCTGGTCTTGGTTCCTCTGGCAATAATAGGTACTTTTCCTTCTCTTGTTGCTTTTCTGCACCATGCCTTTGAGCACCAAACCTGTATTAAAACTGCAAAATCCCACAGCAGGATGAGAGCAGATAGGAGGATGATCTGTGCAAGTGATAGAAGAAAGAGAAGAAGAAATGTCACGCCCAGCCCTCTCCCAGACAGGTCCTCTGTCTGGCCTTCTACCTCTGACATTTTCTTGTTAACACTTTCCAAATAGTAGCTCCATTTTTATTTTTTTTATTATGCTGTTACAGTACAAAGAAAGGTCAGACAATTCTTACAGTGGGAAAAATTTAATAAGCTGGGCACTCCTGACCACTTTTCTTCAAGCCTCTGTTTTGAGAACTCATGAGCTGCCAAACAGAATTTTAATCTGAAACCCTCACCTTTATAGGAAGGAAACCACAAAACTATGGAGACATTTCAGAGGCCAAAGAAAATATTTCCCATCACTTACAAGTACCTAAAGCAAAAAGGATTGGAAGCACCCATTTAAGCTTAGCACTGTGACTGTAAAAATGCCTACAATGCATCCCTACACCAAGCCACCTTCTTGACTTACTGATCTCATGGAGTCAGACACCTTCTCCAGACAGCTCCTCTTCAGCAATGCCACCACATTCTTGAAGCCTTGTTGCACAGATTGCTTTAGATTTCTCTGTCTGCAGTCCTGTTTTCTGCATTGCAGAGCAGAAAAGAGCTGTGCAAGCAAGCTGAGAGCAGATTTAAACAGTGCTGGACAAAGAGGGCTTGAGGGTTGGGTTGCTTGGGTTTTTTTAACCTCCAAGAAATTAAAAGCCATGTACAGATGCCACGATAACAAACAAACTAATTCTGTTTGCACTCTTGGTACAATGGGAGGATAAAGAGCTTGATGGCCAGGAAGAATGTCACATGCGAGAACGATATGAAGCTGACACAAAAGGAGAAGGCAATTATGCCCCACGCTCTTTGACTCTGTTTGTTACTGCTGGTCTGTGAGCCAGCGGGTGGTTCTGCTTCACAGAACAAGCAGAACGCTTCATTCCCCCTTTTAAATCAGTGTTTTTCCAGAGCACCTCTGTTTCAAATAAATATCTGTTCAAGTGACACTAAACTCTGCAGAAGGCTACCTATAAATGGGTACTATTATATGTTTCTAGTCAAGTAAACATCCCTGGCAAGCAATGGACACAGAGTTGGACCCAAGCTTTGGGAAACACAGCAGAGGAAAGAAAGGAAGAAAGCATAAAAAATAAGAAGGCAGACCATGTTTTTCCTCTATTTCTCTTTCTCAAACAAACCCTCCTACCAAGCATATTTTGTGTTACGGAGACAACACAGGAAAATTTGGAGACTCTAGTTAGATTCCATGCATTAGCTGGACAGTCAGTTTGCTTCTGATAGCAAGACTGTGTGTGAAAGTAGTAAAGAAGTCAGAAGGAACACCAGCTGAATTTTCATATTCAAGTAAAAGTGGCAAAGCTGGCCTTGAAAGAAAAACAAGAGACCCAAATATCTCATGCTTCCTAGATTTCACAGGTGATTATAGTGAGGAATAATATTGATGAATGATAATTATTGGCTTCTACATGCCACCTTCCTGAAGGGTTTTTCCAGTCCCATTCCTTCTGCAAAGATACAGCCTCAGTACAAGCATCACCCTGTACCAGACAGAAGCATGGGTGGAAAGCAAATGGGATTTCAAAGTGAGAGCTATGACAGGATTGCAGAAAATAGCCAGAATAAGCAAAGGCACAAGTAAGCAATGTTTTCTAAAACATCCCTCTAGCTGTCTAAGACATACTGAGTACCCCAGAAGTAAAGATGACCTTACTTTCTTATTATCAGCTTCATCAGTTCTAGAGCAGCCCACGCAGTTGACATCTCCCCAGCTTTGCTGCAGCAAACAAAAGGTGATGCAAGGAGGATGTTCTGTTCTCTCTCAGAGACATTTTTTGAAGTTGAAATCCAACCCATTACATCCCTACCTCTAGCATTTCCTCATTTTTTCAAAAGCCCAGCTGCACTGTGGCTCACAAACACTGTCTGAGTTAAAAGCCTCTTAATTAGTAGAGCTGGGAGCCTGACATGGACAAAAGTCTGAAAGGATTTCACTCGTGTAAAAGACCAAGCCCATTAATTCAATGTTCAGAGCAGGAAGTCTCTTGTCCAAGCTGCTTCAAGTGGCTTCAAGCCAGATGTGGCTTTTTCAATGGTGAGACAGCACTTGTAGAGGAACAAAGCAGCAAATAAGAGAGAGCCCCAGAAAGCAAAATACATTGCAGCTCTGATGGACCTCTCTCCCAGAAGCCCGTGATTGAGAAATTCTTCCTCTCTGTCCCTGTTTGTAAGGGCACTGCGTGGTGCAGGTGGGGCACAAAGCAGATCTCAGCCTAACAAGTGCTGTCATACCTTCCCTAGTTACAGATCATCACTGCAAGGGACTGGGGCAGCAGCTTCATCAGCACGATGCACATCACAGAAGGACCACTCTGAAAGAGGCTAAGGTCTTTGGAGTACCAGAACTGTGGACCAGTCCCCAAAAGCGAGGCAAGCAGAGCTGGCTTAAGTGCAGAAAGATCAGCTTGGAAAGAACCATGCTTCCCCAATGCAAGGGGCAAAGGCCAAGAAGATATGTACAGGCAGCTAATGCTTTTGGTCAGACAAACCTGCCAGGCTCTGCCAGAGGGATGAAGTCAAGCCACCTCCAGTGACAAAGCCAGTGATTGTTACCAAAACTTCTTGTCAGAATTAGTTTTTCCCAGTCCCTTCTGGCAGGAAAAGGTCAACACCAGTAAGAATCAATTTCCACACCTAACCTGGAGTCAGGACAACGTCTGCATCTTGAGCTGTTGATTTCCATCACAAAAAGGTCCACAATGGGTCACAGCAGAGTTTGTCTAGCCCAGCATTCTGCCCTCAACAGTGGCTGTGAATGGCTGGTGAAGGAAGAGTTACAGCAGGATAAACAAGGAGAAGACTTCCCTGAAGACATCTGCCAGCTAATAGCCACTGCCAGCCTGGCGCAATTCCTTCCTTATCTTCCAAGACACTTGTCCAGCCTCCCTTTGAAACTGTATGAAAACATTCACTGTTCCCATGAACACGCTGACAGAAACGGGGCTCCAGCTGTAGCCAGTGGGTGCTGACAAAGCTTTATGGGACTGTTTTTGGGGTACATGGTTTGATCAGCATCAATTCCACAAGAGATGGAGTCCCAGCTTCCGTTCAAACGAGTTCTCAGCCACCTCCACCTCTGCAAACTGTATTGGAGACCAAAACTTCCTTTCCCAGAGCCTGGGAGACCTAATGGGAGGATGGAAGTGCCAGGGATCTAGAGGGCTCCAACACAACATGCACAAATCACCCTGGTGTGTAATATTTGACTTCAGCCCTGTCTTCCCCCATGGGTTTGGCTGCCTGTGCTCAAGGTCAGCTAATGATACTGTACAGTCCAGGTTTGGGCAGTGTCCAGCACCTGACAAACCTGATGCAGAGCTATGGATTACACCAGGTAACTCCTGCCATACTATGTGCTGGGGCTTAGCAAGCAAAAATTCACCTGCTCCTGCAAGACAACTTTCCCAGAGCCTGGAAAGCAAACACAGGTCGTCTCAGACACAGCACAGAACAGGAAGTTGCCTGCCGTAAAGACAGTTAGCACCAGCACTCATATTTCTACACTGAGGAAACTGAGACCAGTCTTACATGACTATTTTAACTACTTAAGGCATAAACTGTGGTTTGTCCTTTGCAAAGCTGTGGCAGAAAGTCAGCTGGCTCCCACAGGCTTGGCATTCTTTAGGAAAATCATAAGACTTGAATTTTAATCCTGACTCAGCTGGCCATATGGCCATGGATAAGTCACGTCACCTGCCTATGCCTAGAGACTGTCAGCTCCTCCAGTTTGGTTCCTGGTGCTTGTGACAGCTGGCACTGTTAGACTCAATATCTGAAGAATGATAATTACATGTGAAACTCAAGCATCCAAATAGCTTCAAAGCCTCAAAGCTGAAGAATTAAAAACTTGAACACAGAAACTGCAAATTTCAACAAACAGAAAGAACAGACACAAGCTGCTTTTCCTGGAAAATGGGGATACTACTTTCAAGGTAGCCACTACAGGGTCATAATTTCCAATTTATTGCCTCAAAAAGCTTCTCCCCTTGTAGCTGTAAAGCAGTGCTAAAGAGGTACAGGAAAGTCATGGATAAAATGCTGTCAACAGCCAAGCCCTTATCTAGGTGACCCTGACCACCATGTGCACATGACAACTTAGGGGTGTTGGTTTTTTTTTTTCCACAGCCCTATGACAAGGAGGAAAGGAAAGTGAGGAGTGCAGCCAAATTTCCACAGCTGGTCCTTAGATGACCCTAGTCACTGCAGGGCATTGTGCATGCACTGAATACGCTGCATTCCTAGCAGTCCTCCCCAGTGCAGGACAATGGATCAACAGTTAATGAAGGAGGGAAAAACTAAGCACAACTGGCTGAGTGGCTTACCCAGGACTACAGAACAAGGCCAGTGTTTGGGTCCTGTAGAGGGAACCTATAAGGGAAAGCTTTCCTACACCACTAAATTTTTGGTGACAGAGTGGTAGAAGGGAAAATTAAAGAAGACTCGTTCTAGGGGTACCAAAGACTGAAGTGCTCAGATACTTGCTGGGAGGTTTCCCAAAAGACATCCTCCTGTATCTCTGCCTAAGACAATATTATTAGAAACAACAAAACCACCCCCATACTAAAGCTAAATATTTAAGCCAGTTATTTAAACAAATCAGAAGAATACACACCCTTTCCTTTCTACTCCTGATGCAGAAAAATAAGTCTTACAATTTCAAAGGAAGGAATTCACCATGTGTTTAGGCACACAGGGGTCACACTCCTGGTGCATACACTGGACAAGACAGGTTTGATCCCATACGTGAGAAGCTATTACACCAAGAGGAGATGAAGGGCTGGGTAAGGGGTCACTGCTGCAGAAGGCTGTTGCTCCAGCACATTACAAATGCATAACAAAAGCAGGCCAAGATGCAGCAGGTACAAAGCATTTGTTGCTTGGTCATGGAATGGAAGCAACACTCAGGAGCAGGTGAACAACAGCTAAGTTTTACAAGAAAAGGACAATAAAAACTTCACAGGTCCTTATACCATCTTATATCAAACATATGCCACTTGCTCTGTTTGTTCTACCTACCTGTTGGTCCCAAGGTTTTGAAAGCTAGCAATTGCTATAAAATGTGCTCATTGCAGGTCACAGTCACATCTACACATTCCAGATTTTATAGCACAGTGAGATTCAGTGATCAAATATAGGTATTTACAATTACTGTCCTAGTTGCAGGCAAAAAGCACCTATTCAGTGACAAAAATCACAGCCATACGAAACTGACCAGGTGAAGGCAGAGCAGATCTTGCCAGGGAAAGACACTGACCTCTGTGACAAACTTCCACAGCTGCTAAATTTCCAAAAGCTGCTCAAAGGAACTGGGTACTCACTTGATGAAAATTATTTTAAAAGGCTCTGCCAAGGCTCAGCCTAAAGAGGTTGGGAGAAAAGCAAAAAGAAAGTAGTTATTTCTCTAGTCTACTTTGTTCAAAATTAATTTTTTTCTTTCCTTTCTCTAGGAAATTTGTTTCCGTTGTTTGGAATTTGTTTGGGTGGTTGTTGGGTTCTCCCTTCCCAAAGGGAATGGCAGGAAAAGAAATACACTGAAAAATGAGGAAAACATAAATTGTTTTGCAAAAGTTTTTTCTTTAAAAAAAAACCTAAGAAACCCATACACACCCTGGGCAGAAAGCCTGGAATCAGGTATTCATATCTAGAGCTACACTTTACTCTCTCTCTCTTTTAATTGCCTGCACTCGACTGTATCTGTTTAAGGAAACAGGAACAGATCCAGGAACCTTTGTGTTGTTTATTCAGCAGGGGATTAGCCCAGCCTGATAGCCCAGAGCTAACCTGTGCTGCCATATCTTGGATGACTTCACCATGGGATATGCCAGTTAGGACACCAAGGTACATCCCAGAAACACTGATGGGTTCAAGAGCCTTCATCATTCTGAAGAGCAACTTAAAAAGGTGCTCTGCTGCAATTCACTAGTTCCCTCACCAAAGCTCATTAAAGAGGAATTTACCATCATGAACTTCTTGATCTTTGCTAAAAAAATCTTGCTATGGGGAAAGTTGTTTGATTCAGACTCTATTGCTCTTATCACCAAGCAACATGTGAGTGGTAATGGTTTTCCTTTTCCATTTCAAGAGGTGAACAAATAAACTTGTTAAATCTGCAGTCACCCATGCTTCCCGACTCAACAGCACAACAGAAACCACCGACTGTGCCAACAACTATCAACGTAAGAAGTCTGCAACACAGGTATCTACAGCATCCCAAAACAACATCCTTCACCCCAGAAATTGCCACAAATCCTCCATCACACCCTCGTGCTGCTCCCCAGCTTTGGCATTGCCAGCTAGTGGCATTTTGCAGCTCTCTCACGCTGGCACAGCATTGGCACAGCAAACAGTGAGGGAGAGTGTTTGCACTGGAACCTCTCCTACTAATTGGGCTTTTGGCTTTGTTGGGTTGTTTTGCTTCAGGACTGGAGAGAGAAAGCATCAGATTTTCCTCTAATAATATTTGGGCCAAGAGTTAATTCTCAGCAATTAAAAACAAAATCCAAACCACATTTTTTCCATAAACAGCTAATGGTCTTGGATCTGTCAGTGTAACTAGCACACAGCTGATTTCTCAGAAAATAAAGAGCATGCCTGCAATAAGGCATGACAAATAACAGCTAGTTTAAAAACAGGTCATTTTAGTGAATTTCTTTACTTTATAAAAGCTTACAGGTTTCCTGAAACTTTCCTTTAAAGTGACAGAACAGAGCATTACATCACTTAAGGATTCATCTTATATACTGCAGCATTAGCTGAACACCACTAACAGTGCTGTGAAGGTGGAGGTAGATGCTGCTTGGAGTTCAGAAAAGAGATCATGCCTAACACCAAGTATGTTGACGAGAGAATATGTGCTCTGCAGGAGATACCTACAGACCGGGCAGGTAGGCAGGAGGCAAATAAACTTTATTTGCCAGCCTAGATGTGGGAAAAAAGATAGAAGACAGAGGACTCAGTGCTTGACATCAGATACACCGGGTCATTTTTGATTCAAAGTAAAAGTTGAGCACTGAGAGCCCAGGCTAAGGAGATCCCTGCTCTCTCCTACTCCTCTTTTCTAGGGGTTGTTGAGGCAGGTAGGAATGCCCCATAAGGAAAACAAGATCCAAATTTAATCTGGCAATTAAAGCTCTTCAGGAAATCCAGGGCAGATCCTCAGTTCATTTAATGGAACATGAGCAGCAACTCCCTCCTGCCCCTTTAGAGAAGGGAGCACTTGCATGCAGAGCAGGTTGTATCTGAGACAACAACCAGGATTCAGCACCCTTCTGCTGGGCTCATGACACCTTTTACTGAACATCTAAGGTGTCATCAAGCTAAAAAAGACCTCAGCTGCTGCAGCTCAGCAGGGACACATCAGGAGAAAGGTTGCTGAGAAGACTTCTTTTACACCCTGCAAGCAGTGATTAGGTACATGCCCCAGCCCTCAAGAATGCAACCACACTTGGTGTCCTGCAGACAAAAAATTCAGGCTGAAAGCAGGCACACCTCAGTCCTCTGCTGGTGGAGGGCCAGATACATTTTGTCAGTGTTCTTGTCAAAGGCAAAATTATACAGAAACAGCCTTTTGTTTAATAAATGGATAAAATATTCTAAAGGATACACAAAGCTTCAAATGCTAGAATTTAGGGGTTGTGGAGTTGCCTGTGTAGCCAATTCCCAAATGCCAAAGATGGTGAAAAATTTGCCTCCTTTAAGAAAAGGATCCAGGAGCCTCAGATTAAGCTGGTGATGGCATCTGCACATCAAACAGGAGGAAGCACTTCTCTACAAATCCTTCAAGTGTGTCATCTCACTGACATGAGATGCTGAGAATGTCACCGGCATTCATGAGCTGAAGAAGTGGCTGTTTTATTCTGCTCTGTCTATTACAAAAGGACTATTACAAAAAATAGCTGCTTTGGTGCAAATTTTCTTTTCCACAAATAGCAAAAAGAGTGCCCTAGGAGTGGATCATCCCATTTTTATGCTGGGAAGATGAGGATATCTGCCATTAGCTGCTGCAGGAGGCACAGGGCTGGTTCAGCCTGGCTGTTCCTCAGCATGAATAGAGGCTGCTCTCTCATCTGCAGAAACCCCTCTCAAAGGGCATGGAATCTTTGACCAAAAGGCAGAGCATTTGCTACATTTTCATCAGCAGAAAGTCTAATGGACTTCATACTCCAACAGCCAGAGGCCAGGCTTCTCCCCACAACTGTCATGGCCATTATGGGTACAGAAATCCACTCGGTTCTTCCTTTGAGTCCTCTGATTCTAGCTGCCTATATCATACCAGAACAAAGATTTTCCTTTCCCATAAGAAGCTGAATCTCTCCATGACAGCCTCACACCTGGTCTGACCACAGCAGGATCCCTCCTGGGCTGCTGTTATGTATGCACACTCACCCAGCAGAGTCACTGTTTAAGTCAGTCACCGTCTCTAGGCTTCTTTTGAGTACTTTTCACCCCTGTTGTAAGAGGGAAAAGCATCTGGTGTTGCTTCATGGAGAATGAACTTCCTGCCATCCAGCCTCAGGATGCTGAGCAAGAAAAGTGTTCATGGCTTCCTCCAGGTGATTCCCAATCTTGTTTTGCCACTTCTTCATTTTATTTCCCAACAGCCAACCCACTGACTTGAGCACAAGTCCCTCCTGGCCAGCTGCAAGTTTTCCTCAGCCACTCCACTGCCCTCTCAGTACAAAGACCAAAAATCCTGTGACAATGCCATCTCACCTGGAGTACCAAGGTGTGAGCTCAGAGAAGTGCGCAAGAGCCTCACCTTTGTTGATCAAGATCCTTTGTCTTGAAATCAGCCTCGCACAAACAAAAATTCAAAGGCTTATGTTGTCCTCAGATTGCTCCCCCAGCATGCACAGGCACAGATAAAATATCAAA